TTCCAGGTGCCCACCTGACATCGTCTGAAAACCAAATGAGGCACAGTTTTTTTTTATTAGACACCCATCTTCACACCTGTCTGGTGCCACCTGAGTCGCACGCATGACACTTGGGATTCTTTGAGTCAGCCCTGTTGGTCACAATGTTGGAATGATCCTTTCACATAGATTCCATTAATTAGTCCTTAACTGGGTTTTATTTGTTTACATAAAATAATAATTCCTCTAACCCCCCCCCCCCTCTCTTGATGTTCATGCCTTCTGCTAAGATAACTCCAGGCCCACCTGTGAAAACTCCTAAATGTTATGAGAGTGACTGTTGAATAGCAGCATGATGGTGGGGAGCCCGTGGGCGGGAGCTCTAATATGATTGGCTCAGGGACACAGTAAGCCTGAGTGGCAACTTTTAATGGGAGCCCTGGAGAGGTAACCCAACAGCTGTGTGTTTGCTGCTAATGAGAGATGGGGGAGGAGTAAAGGATCACACACTGGAAGCACTCTGATAAACTCTTGCTTCAGAATAACTGGGAGAAACAGGAAATCAAGTTTTCTCAGGAGTGCATTGCTTAAGGCTTTTCCTTTGTGGCAAACCCCACATTTTTCACTCATTGCTCCTGGCCCATTGCTTTATGCTTAAACAGTTATGATCACTAAGTGTTTATGGGGAGCAAAAAATAAAAGATAAATGCATGAGAGTTACTGTAGGAAGGGATGGATGTCACTCCCTGCTGAGTGATACTGATTTACAGCCATGCATGGAGCACAAGCTCTAAAGAAACACATTTGGAACTGCAGCTACATTTAACATTTTAACCGCTGAATTCCCTATATAACAATAAAGACCATCATATTTGTTTAGAAAAGTATAGTATTACATCCTGATGTTCAGCATAAATCTAATAATATTATTAAAACTATGTGTTTACAATGATATATAAACAAAAACATTTAAAGGTGTGGAACACTTGTTTAATCAATATATTTTCAGTGGTCTCTAATAAGTAAAACCTAAATATTTAAAGTTACATCAACACCTTTAAACATTTTGTATTACGATGTATTCATTAATTCTATTCTATTATCTATCAATTTAATTGGACATATTTAGATGTGACTATATATTTAGACTCTGTATTAAATTTATTGACTTATTTTAAAATCTTCATCTTATTCTAAATAGCTGCACCAAACTATAAATGTAGACTGAAATCTAAATTTTAAAATGTGACTACACAAATCAAGTTTATTCTAAGCTGTAGGCTTTTAATTCCAGTTTATGCATTTAGTTTTGGTAAATAATTTTTGATGAGGTAAATTATAGCTATTAATTGTTTAATGTGTCATTTTAGAAACTGCAGCCCATAGTCTAGAGCAAAAGCATAGCTTTTTATAAAAATGCTTTTGCACTTTCCATGGATGAAGATATAACATTTATTCTATGTTTTGTTTGATTTTAATTTTTTTTTTTAAACTGGTGAAAATATATTAAAGTATGCAGCTGCACCGAGCTCGGAGAGGGTTCCATTCTTCTGATTTTCTCAGCAGATCCTGCTTCCCTCTCTTTATAATGAGCGCCTGAGGGTGGCGCCAAATGAATAAATAGCGACCTAACAGCTCCCAATTTTAGGACGCTCATATCCCTACATGTAATGCATATCAACAAGTAAATGCTGGCTACCTGTTACATCACGTTAAATCCGGGCTGCACAATTTGTGTTTCCATCAGCAGAAATGCTCATCATTTCCTTCTTTTTTTAAAAGCCATAATAATAATGATAATAATAATAAGTCATGTGATTGCAAGATGCGCTCATTTATTAAGGTGTCTCAGGTGACCTAGTTTGATGAAATATTCTTAAACTGTAGGAAGCAGACGATTTTCCGGTTGGCAGCCGTGGCATAATGTGATGTTGAGTGCAAAGTTGTGTGCTGCGGTGGATGGGAGCCCCACCTCCTCCTACGCTCTGATGAGTAGAGAGAGGAAGAGAGAGACGGAGAGGAGGCGAGGAGAGGGGAGCAAACTAACCTACCCACAGCATCTCACCACTTGCCCTCTGGAAAGGCTTCAGATGGGCTCCTTGTGGAAGACCGGCTAGCCGCTGCTCCGTTGTCCATCGCAGAGAGATGATGGCATTCCTCTGTTGCTGCCGTTTAGGCGCCCTGTAGTGCGTCCTTAGAGTGCGCTCTCTCACCAGGAGCGAAGGCGTCGCGGAAACTTGGGACGGAAAGAGATGCGACAGCGCGCATATCTCGGAAGAGATCAGTTTTTGAGGCTTGGAAATGGCTCACAGTGGTGGCATCCCTAAGGAGTGAGGATCTTATGTGCCCGGCTGTTTTTTTAAACTGCTTTTCAACTTCCAGACAAAAATAATCCAGCTTCTCCAGACGGAAGACGGACTCAGGACTCTGAATTTGGAGAAGAAACTTCTGATAGCTGTGACTGGATTTTTTTATTTGTATTTTTGTGGACGTGATTGTGATTTCTGTGGGAGACCCCCTTTCGGGAGCATATCTGCTGCGGAATCGCTAGCGAACGCACAAGTCTCTGTCTCAG